GCTGAACCCTGTATGAGAGTAACCCAGTAAAGATTTTACAGCTGGCAGATGTACGTGTCTTAGGAAGGTAAGACTTTCAAGTGAGGGCAGAACCATGGAATTGTTGCAAAGATAGCCACGAGCCAAGCTTGCTAACCAGCTTAGTTGTGCTTTAGTTTCAGATGGGTGTGTTCTGCAGTGCTTTGAAAACCAAAGATTTGATGCTGAAACGGTGAGGAGAGTAGTACTGAGCCTAAAACATCTGTCAGACAATGGTGAACCCAATGTGGGAAAAATATAATTGAAGGAAAACTTTTCTTTGCCCCAATTTGTGGCTTTTTAGAGATGGCTGAACCTTCAGGAAATGGGAGAACTGGGTATTAATTGCCCTCTTCTAGCTCTTAAATGCACCTGTCAGTTTGTTGCTAAAAGGTAGACTTCAGCCTCCCTGCTATCAGTTGCCTTCTGCTTGAGTTGCAGTCTGTTACTTCTGTGGCTAGGTAATTGGCTCTAGTACAGCTGCTCTGTCTTATAATTTCTAAGGCTAGTTATGAAGTGAGATACATTAGCTGCATCACAGGGAGATGGCAAACTTGATCTTGGATATTAAAAAAGCCAGGGAGACAGACATGGGAAAGTAGGGTTATCATACACAGCCCTTCAACTCTGTATTACTGACGGATCTGAGACACCCACTAGAAGATATCTTGGTCTCTTCTATTTCTCCAAGTAATCAAATGCAGTTAGATGACAAAAACCTGTAAGCAACCTGAGGACTTCACCTATATTTAATCTTTATGGGCAGAGGGTGGAAATTACTTACCTGAAGTAGATAGAAGCTGAGATGTGGTCTGAAATTAAATTGCGGTAGTGTTTGTGTCCACTTAACTGAATGACTGAGCTAGGGAACATCTATTGTCATGTCTCTGAAGTACTTGAGGTATCTGGCAGGTGTTCCTGTTTTTCAGCAATAAGGGATGGCATGGGGAGCATGTTGGGAAGCAATAAGGGGAATTTTGAAGGATCTACGTTTGGCTTATAAATTCAGGAAGAGTGGGTTATTACTGTACATTTTAGTGGTCTCTGGTGGAATTTATATCTCGCAAATAATACCACTGTTAATGCTTCAAATCAGAAATAACAAATGAATATTAAGCAGTAATCCACTGAAAAAGAGCTTGGCATGGAAAATTACTGGTAGAGAGAGCTTACGGATCACCTATTATCTACTCCATTTTTAAGGATTTAAAAACCAGACTAATCAAGAGGTGTGTATACTTCAGTATTTTAGTTTGGTTGAGAACTGTTCTTTCAAAGAGAATTTGGCTATGTTTTAGTTTGTCATTTTTGGAGCAGGCTTGGGCTGTGTGGATTGGATTCTTCTTGAATGAACTGCAAGATAGATGCCGGGACAGACCAAATACACTCCAGCCACAAATAGGCATTTGGTCTGTGTGTCCAAACTAGAGCTTGATGAAAGAACAAAACCCAAAATGCTGAAGCATATGTAGTATAGGTGTTAGATTCTCATATTAGCTTTACAGATTGTCTGTTGCTGATCTGTACTGCTTGCTAATGTAGTATTTCTAGTAAAGGTAGCATCCCTGGGAATGGCAGTAGAGGTATAAAAAAGAGGCAGAGCTTACACAGAAAGTATGGTATGAAACGCAGAAGATCATGGACTGAGGAAGGAGAAGGACTTGGTTTATGAGGGGATCACACGTAGAGGGTGAGCTTGGTCTATAAATATTTCATTGCCCTCAGGACATTTGAAAAATGCAGAGCATAAACTGACCACTTTAATGTCTCCAGCTTACAGAGCACTACAGAGTACTCTAGCATTCAAGAGACTGAAAAGTTATGTCGAGTTTATTGTCGTTGTCCAGCTTGAAGTAATGGTTACACTAATAAGTGGCTATACTCAAGCCCTCTGTGTGTTTAGGTTTTATTTGTATCTGCTGCATGTTCCCTAAGAATTAAACTAGGTGAAAAGGTTGATACCTTCAGGAATGAATGACAGGGATGTGTTTGAAAGAGCCATGGAACACTTTGAAGCGTGCACACTAGCTCCAGGTTGCTGTGGGGCTACAATAGAGTTCCTTTTTCTTTAAAGCCAGTGACTGTACTTAGACAGTTCTGGTCTGGGTCTTAAAATTACATGGAGACCCAAGTAACCCGCTGATGAGTGTCAGAGAGAGCACTAAACTACACATGTGACATGTCAGTTTTTAAAACGTCAGTCACTGAGTTTGAACTAACACTTCCTAGGTATGAAATGTTGCATTCTTTTAGGTATTGAGCTGTCCAGTCTTGTTGAGCCAAGCTGGCCCCATGTAGTCACACAGCTCTTGAAAATACCATGGCAGTAACTGTAGCAGATTTGGACAAGCAATCCTGATCCCAGCTACAGTTGTCTTGTTTTCTCCTTTTTGTTTGTTATTTTCTTGTGTATTGGAACTCATTTCTGTGCATGAGATTGAATTTCTGTCCAGAGCACTGTGTTAATCTTTTATCTGATTACGGCTGTATTTGCTGTGGATTTAGATGCAGAGTCCTCTCTTTATTCTGTCTCTTTCTTCTCCAGTTACTGGGGAAAAAACAGCCATGGCAACAATTTCCTTTAGATTTTTACAGACAGGGAATGTCTGTAATAAACTTGGCAGACTGTAATCTTGTTTTATTGTTATTTCCAGTTATGAATTTCTGTCCTTCTGACAAACTGTAGTAGTGTACTATAGCCAATTCAGAGCTGAGCTTGAAGAGACTAGGGAAAAAATCTAAACCTAGTCTAATACTGTCGGGCAGAGCTGTCCACCAGGGTTGGCCACGAGGTATTATGTCCTATACCAGTCATGAAGGTATTGAAAAGGAGATGTGGGCTTTATTTGACTGGAGTGGGCTAACACCCAGTACTTGGGCTAGTTACAGGGCTGTCAGGTGGGAAAAAAAAAAAAATCCTTGAATCTAAGCCTAGAATGCAGAGTCTTCTGTGCAGAAGCTGAAGGGGGCGGGTGGTTTAAGGGGAGGTCACTGCTTTAGTGACTGGGGTAGGAACATGACTCTTTGGAGACAGGAGACTTGGGGAAATATCTGGGGATCCAGCCCCTTTGAGGAGGAAGCTTCAAGAGAGCGAATGTTTTTTACTTTTTTCTGAGAAACAAGGGTCTTGAGAGAAAAAGCATCTAGAGGTTCCAGAAGAAAGAGACTACCTCTTCTCAACACATGGTGAAAGTGGAAAAAGAACTGTCAATCTTGCATGCAAAGGGTAAAAACCTTAACTATTAGCCTGTTGGATGTTCTGTGTGTTGGAAACCTAGCAATACGTGTAAAGATGTTACTGAGTAGATGTGAGCTTGGTTAACTTGGTCTTGCTGAACTTGGTCAAAAGACAGCCTTACAGGAGGATGCTCTGAGGTTGTGAAGGGTAAAGGGACAATAAGTGAGGCTGGCGCTGGCTGATGGTTAAGTAGCAATGAGTCTTTTATAACTGACATTTCAGAAACAGAAGACTCATGGCTGAGAATGACTATACTCCAAAACAATAGTATATTTTTATTTTGTTGCAGTGGTAGCTGTGCTTCTGTCAAATTTTGTCAATGTAAAAATTCTGTTACTGTGAATAGTGGTAGTGAATTCTCTAGAAACTTGATAAAACATCACATTGATAGTGTATGTTGGTTGAAAGATAGAAACTAGATGTGGGAAAACCCCACCTTACTACCTCATAGTGGGGAGGAGGGAGCGTGTTCTGTCTTGCTTGTGGCTTATGTTTTGTTGAAAGCTCTCAGGGGCCTTGGAGTTATATCCTCTTGCAAAACAGGAACAGTGCTGTCATTCATAAAATGTACAAGAGTAGCCAATCTCTAAATGCTGTTCTACACAAGCAATGAGGTGTGATCACTGTTTGAGACCATGGCAGCTCTCACTTACTGAAGCAGGTGGTTGGAGCC